GAGCACTTTTTTATTTAATAGTTGGCCCTGATTAAAATTAGTACCAGGAAATAAACTAGAAAATGAAAACCACAAAAAATATGGTTTAAACAACAACAACAACAACAACAACAACAAAAGTCGCAATGCACGTGACGGAAGCGGGTTGACAAATACAATGAAAAAGACCACAATGCCGGGACTTCTCAGACTTCAAGTACGACAGGAACCTACTTCCAACCACGGGACGTAGGCTACAGTCTGTGGGGTAGGGGAGTTGTGGCTAGGGCCAGTTCCAGATGTTCTGGGGTTGTTAAAAGCGGCCACATCGTGTAACATAATACGCGACATCGCCGGTTAGAGCATCGAAGACAACACAACGTGACACCCCTGTAACATAGATTAGCGTGTGTCAAGACCAAGCAGTGTTTATTTGAGTAGACAAACGGTACTAGTTCCGGTAATCAAACAGGATGAATAAGAGTTAATGTTTTTTTTTTCTTTCAAGTATCCTCGCTGGAAGAATAAGACTGCTGTGTTATTATTATTATTATTATTATTATTATTATTATTATTATTTAAAAAATAAATGTAAAAAAACGAGGTGAATATTATGGAATGTTTAACAATTACTGAGTCTTTTTTTTTTTCGAACAGAAATTATGAGCTCTAAACTTTTTGGCTCGGTACTATGAATATTGTAACTCTTCGGCCTTGATTCCATTTGATACGCTTTAAATCTGGGACATATGTGGCTTTTCCGCCTACCCCTGAGCGTGAACTCGGACGTCAAGGAGTTTGGAATCGGTCGCCGAGCAGCTGGTTTAACCAACTTAGCTAGAGCGCCGGGAAAAATTATTGGTTAAAATAGGAACGGTGACCTTACTGGCAAAATTAGAAACACAAATCGTTCCCTTGTGGGTTGTAATTGTTTGTTGTTTTGAAGCCTCACCTTGGCTTTTGCCGGGCGCCCTAAATATAGCCGGTCAATAAATATGACCTAACGGCTGAACGTGGTTTCCCGAATCTCCCTACGGGTGATCCTCATCGGCATGGTGGCACTTTGTGTCACTAGGTGTTTATCGCTTGTGTCATGTCCTGGTGGGGTACAACTTACCTACGTACCTAGAAACTACTAAGTAATGTTTTTAGTTTTTTTAATTGAATGTGACTGCCATGAAATAATCAGAAATGAGGTATGCAACTGACCAATCGTAAAATGCTGATACTCTGTGAGTATAAATAAAGTGTGTGTGTGTGTATATATATATATATATATATATATATATATATATATATATATATATATATATATATATACACACACACATATATATATATATATATATATTCACAAAACCACACAGAAATCTGTAATGATGTTGGCTGTAAATGTTTTTTTTTGTTCGCTTGGTTCAAAAATTACAAAAGTACATTTGTCTACAAGATGGAATGTAAAATTATGATCAAGAGTACACGTTTTTATGTCATTTCGAAGCCTAGCGTAAATTTCACAACACTTGTAACTGTGACAGAGGAGTCGAAAAAAAACCCACTATTACACAGTTTCCGGGGTGGGGAAAATGGAAAGGGGGGGGGGGGGGGGTAGAGGTCTACACACCTTAAATACTCAGGATAACAATGAGCTGGATAGCAAACAATAACACGGTGATCAAAATTGATTGCCAGCGTTTTAAACCATTATTACAAAAGATGTATTTAATGATTTAACGGATGCACACATGTAGTGTTTTAAAACGTTTAGACAAGTTTAAAGTTTCGGGTGACTTTGTGTGACCATAATCAGGCTTAAGACAGCACCGAGAAGATAAGGGAAATACAGCAGCATAAAGAAAGGGTCGCTAGAGCAACTGCAGCTGCAAATCTGGACACAATTTAGAAGGTTAGGATAGTTGCGTATCCTTTACAGGACGTTGCAGAGCCAACTCCAACAGCCCCTGACTGTTGTGTGCTTTTTCTAGGCAAATTTACGTCCAGTAGTTTGCTATTGCTTTCTCGACGGTCGGCTTTCTTGATACCATTGTCGAAACTAACGTAAGGCGCATGGCCCGCAGCTGGGATCAAACCCGGCATCCCGGCATTACGAAGCGTTTGCATCGACTTAGCCACAGAGGCGACCAATTCAGAAGACGTGAAAGAAATTTAAAAGCGTCAAGACATCACCAGAACTACACATGGCGCCCAAATTAAAATGTGCTAGGCAAATCTAAAACTATAAAATGTTCTCAACATTTTAAGATGCCACGTGTATATATAAATATTTCTTTTATAATAACAGTTTAAAATCTCGACAATGATTCTGGTTGACAATGTCTAACAAAATATTGTAAACTATTCCCCGTGTGGGTTCCGGGGCCCTGTTATAGGGAAAACAAGAATAGACCCACTGCCTACCGAAAATCATGTCGTAGGAGTCGACTAAATGGGAGATTACTTCAAAGTCGGAGACATCTGCCTGAGAGGCAAGAAACCAGCAGTCTGCATACAAATGAGTCAGATCTGTAAAACAGATGCACACGCAACACTCAGGTTCTGGAACAGGACTGCAGTCCAGAAATAGATGAACAACCAGAACTTTCTGCCAAAGTTTACACCTAGTGAACACGAAGAAGAAGCAGGAGAAGGGGAAGGAGAAGGAGAAGAAAAAGAAGAAGAAGAAGAAGAAGAAGAAGAAGAAGAAGAAGAAGAAGAAGAAGAAGAAGAAGAAGAAGAAGAAGAAGAAGAAGAAGAAGAAGAAGAAGAAGAAGAAGAAGAAGAAGAAGAAGAAGAAGAAGGAGAAGGAGGAGAAGGAGAAGGAGATGGAGAAGGAGGAGGAGGAGACGGAGATTGGAAATTATATAACATTAATAACGGAAACTGAAAAGGAGAACTTCTGTACAGGGTCAAACGATGGCAGCTTTGGCACCGTACAAACTGGAGGGGTGGGTGAGGGGGGAGGGCTGAAGGGGTGGAAGGGAGCTAGGCAAATTACTTAAACAAATTACTGATATTTGATTGGTCGACCCAGCCTTGAGTGGGTATCAGATACAGTCCTGGGAAGTAAAGGTGGCCGGTGAGATGCTGACAACATAACCCACCCACTGCCTATTGGTCTATAAAACATTAGTCTAACCCTATTACTTCACTTACTGATTACTCGTTTGTCAGTGTAAACGCCAGGGATACAATCATATAAAAAAGAAACAAGAATGTATAAGAATAGATAGGCAATTCTCATATTCACACGCAGACAGTGGAGCAGATTAGAGGTTGAGTCGTCCACCTGTGGTTCCAGCAGACCAGGTTCGTTTCACAGAGCTGGTTGTTTGGCGTTCCACACACACACACACATACACACTCTCTCGCACGCACGCACGCATGCGCGCGCACACACACATGTACGCACAAAGGGGACACACGCCACTTATCATTAGCTAGCAGATCTGACGTATAGCGGTTTTTTTTTTTTTTTTTAGTGTAATGGCCACAAACAACTCCTAATACAGTGAGCATGTTAAGAATACAGTTGACCATGAAAATATTCTTTATCTGTGTAGTGTTTGTAGGTAGGCACTTTGCGATGTGGTTTAAAACTAGGATGCGAAATCTGCACATTCCGGGGCAATACACCATCTTTCAGTAACCCCCTTTGTGAAAGTTAATCTTTCAATCTTCCTGATGAGGACTACAAAGTCTACGCCGCCCTCTCCCCAGGTTTCACCCCATCCTTTTTGTTTCTTTTTCCACAAATGAAGCCCCAGATGGTGTGGGTTTTAGGACCCTATTTTGAAGAACAAAGAACTGATCCACTGCTTCTCTTACAAGCATGTCGTACGAGGCGACAAACGGGTGGTGTTTGATTTAAAGTCAGAGTTTACCTGCATGAGAGGCAAGAAATTAATATAATGTATGCACAAAAGCCAGATTTGTAAAACGATGTGCAAGCAAAACAAAATTCGGAAGCAAGTCCAAAGTTCACAAGTGAACGAACAACCAGAACTCTACGCTCGAGTTTACAGCCGGTGAACGTTAAGAAGAAAAGACGAATGAACGTAAAACTGTCTAGTAATACCATACAACAATCAATAAATGCTTACATTCGTTTGCTACATTCTGAAGTGGATATACTTAACCTACACAAGAAGAAGCCCATTTATAGCACTTGGTAATTCTTGTGTACACATGAGCGGATCTTCGTTGACGAAACAGGGTTCATGCCTTGTGCAGATTAGATTATCACTATGTGAAAGCAAGACTAATGCACAGTCAGTGTGTCACTGGTACATTCAGAATTGGAATTCTTCGCTGGATGCTGAAGATCAGAGCGTAAAGGAATGTCACGAGTGCTCTGATAAAGATTCTTGACTTAGCTCGACTCAGTATGTGATCAATGAAAGTGAGAAAAACACGTAGATATTTGCTTCAAATTAAAATTATCCGTTACAGTTAGACCGGTACCATACATACTGCTGCAGATAGGACGCAGAAAGTCCTTGTCTGCAATGTGACAACAAGACAACTATAAATGGCGATTTCAACTGACAATCCACTGATTAGTTAGTCTTTCCTCTTGAGCCAAAAGCGTCGCACAGGGCACAGGTCATAGTTCTGGCGGTTCTTTGCCCCCTGTTGTAGGTCTTGGATGTTCAGTAGGCCCATGGTTGAGCCTTCCCTGATGATAATTCTACACAGGGTCTCTCTTGGTCTTCCCCGTTTTCTTTTCCCTTCCAGTGTCCATAAAAAGGAGTGATGGGGGAGTCCTTATCCATTCTGAGTACATGACCGATATATGATGGGGTTGTAGATTACAAGACGCTCAACGGTTTAGCTGCTATACAGCATGTGTCGCAGTCTATGTGTTTCTGTTCTTAGCAAGGCTACTTCTTCCCGCAGTTTGAGATTCTCCTGCTCCAGAAATGTTGCTCTTATCGCGATTTCTTCTTCTTTGGCTCTTCTAGCATCACGAGATCTCTTTGCAGCATCGTTATTTTTACGTCGTCGTTCCCAGTAAGCTTCGTCTTTCTGGTCCTCTGGCAAAGAACTTGCCCGTTTCCTTGGATTAGCAGGCAGGGATGTTCTGGAGGTCAGGCCAGTATCCGTGAGGACTGGCGAGTTCCGGGCATGAAAGGTCACACTTGGGCTGGAGGATAAACCTAAATTTGGAGATGGGCTGTTGCCACTGGTAACTGGTGGAATGCGGATATAGTTGTGGTTTCTCTGCTGCTCGTGGTGAGGTTTACCACTAGACGACGATGATGATGGTGATGATACCGATGACTGTTTGGAGAATCTAGCTGATAGTTCAGCTGTTTTCGCCAGCTCAAGCTGTTGTTGATACATGTGTAATATGCTTTTACTATTCACACCCATTAATGAGCTCATGTTAATGCCGTTCTCAACAGTAGCTGATGCTGGTCTTCCAAAACCGAGAAATCCTAGTGGCATCTGCAAAGCTTCATTCTGATATTGTTTTAATAAGCTACCGTTTTTCCTGGGAAATTTATCGTTTAACACAGCACCATTTATCTGTGAAAAAGTATTCATTTCAGATTCGTGTGTTACAGGATTGATTAAAGTCCCCGGGAAAAGGCCGAAGTTGCCTAGAAAACCAGGCAATGGAACTGGTGAAGCTAAAGCTTTAGCTTGTTCAAAGGATATCTGATCCTCCGAGCTAGGTGTCCTCCACCTAGAGATGCTGCCGATGTCGTCGACGGGGATGGGATCTGAGGAGGGAGACCGCAAGCTGCAGTCAGTAGAGTGACCAGGACTAGACGATGTGTGAGAATCATCCGTTAAACTCCCTGAGAACGAGGTTCGACGCTTAACAGAAAAGTCTAATGGGCTGTCCTGGCTGCTGTACATGGCAGGCGAAGAGCATTTACTAAACTGTGTCATCTGATTTTCTGTAGAATGGTCCTCAAGCTTGTTCTCCGGCTCACTCGTGGCTGCTTCTTTGAAGCCATTGACTTTGATTAGGACATTGCTGATGACAGTGTCCTGGCCGCTGCTACTGATATTTGTAGTAAAGAGTCTGCGACTGTTGTCGTAGATGTCGCTTTCTGTCATTGTGGAAACTTTCATGACACACTTGTTATTCCATTAACCTGACAGTCTGTGAAACAAAATTAAAAGGTGAGATTATAATGAAAACAACAGATTCAGCAATATGAGAAAATTGTAAAAATATATTGAGATTTTTTTTAAACACATAAAAAATGGGTGTAGTCGAAGAGTATGTATACTCAACGGTGTTGAATGGTGCTGGGACTTGAACAAAGAATAAGCGATTAGAACATGGATTTGAGTCTCTATAGTTGTGGATGCCCAGACGAATAGGTCGTATTTCATGAAAAATAATCAAATACAGAAGTTCTGAAGTAATTAGAAAAGAAAAAAAGGGTTCCTGAAAGAAACAGAAAAAAAAAAAAAAAAAAAAAAAAAACAAGTGAAATATTTTGGATACTTTCAAGAACACAATACTCTGATCATACCTATAATAGAGAAACAAGATTATTAAGGCCTGGAGAGAATGAGACACATGGGTGTAACCAGAGGGTCTGGCCGGCTCACTACACTCAGAGTAGAGGCAAGACGGACACATAACCAGATTGTGACCGGTACCATCAGCACTGGAACTCTGCGAAGGCTGCTCAAGATGGAGCAGGCATGGGAATGCCCCGAGTGCTGTGATGTCAATTCTTGACTCAACTCAGAAGCACTCAACTTATCTATACTAAAGCATAATAGTAAGAGGCAGACAGTGACAACATCAAACAATGAAGGCACAACAGTTTCAGTTAGTGTACATCCAGAGCGACAGACACAGCAGTTTCAGTTAGTGTACATCCACAGCGACAGACACAGCAGTTTCAGTTAGTGTACATCCAGAGCGACAGACACAACAGTTTCAGTTAGTGTACATCCACAGCGACAGACACAGCAGTTTCAGTTAGTCTACATCCACAGCGACAGACACAGCAGTTTCAGTTAGTGTACATCCACAGCGACAGACACAGCAGTTTCAGTTAGTGTACATCCACAGCGACAGACACAGCAGTTTCAGTTAGTGTACATCCACAGCGACAGACACAGCAGTTTCAGTTAGTGTACATCCACAGCGACAGACACAGCAGTTTCAGTTAGTGTACATACATCCACAGCGACAGACACAGCAGTTTCAGTTAGTGTACATCCACAGCGACAGACACAGCAGTTTCAGTTAGTGTACATCCACAGCGACAGACACAGCAGCTTCAGTTAGTGTACATCCACAGCGACAGACACAGCAGTTTCAGTTAGTGTACATCCACAGCGACAGACAAAGCAGTTTCAGTTAGTGTACATCCAGAGCGACAGACACAGCAGTTTCAGTTAGTGTACATCCACAGCGACAGACAAAGCAGTTTCAGTTAGTGTACATCCAGAGCGACAGACACAACAGTTTCAGTTAGTGTACATCCAGAGCGACAGACAAAGCAGTTTCAGTTAGTGTACATCCAGAGCGACAGACAAAGCAGTTTCAGTTAGTGTACATCCACAGCGACAGACACATGAGTCTTGTGTCCTGAGCACATTACTGTACGGCTGCGAATCCTGGACTCTCTATGCTCCACAGGAAAAAAGACTGAATACCTTCCATATGCGCTGTCTGAGACGCATCCTTGGTATATTATGGCGAGACCTTGTCTCCAACGAATGTGTGCTGACAAGAGCAAAAATACCATTAATGTATTGTATACTGAAGCAAAGACGTCTGCGCTGGCTGGGACATGTCTCCCGCATGGAGGATGGTCGTATTCCAAAAGATCTCCTATATGGTGAATTAGTAACTGGGAATAGACCTACAGGAAGGCCAAAGCTGCGCTATAAAGATGTATGCAAACGTGACCTAATAGACACCAACATAGGCACAGAGACATGGGAAAATTCAGCTGCAGATCGACTAGACAGAAAGTGAAAGATGGACTGTCACATTTTGAAAGAAACCGAACACAACGAGCTGTGGAGAGGAGGCACCGGAGAGTAAAACTGCCTCAGTAATTAGTCAGATATTTCACCAAGTAATTGATCCGACATTTCACTAAGTAATTAATCCGATATTTCACCAAGTAATTAATCCGATATACCAGCACTGTATTCAGTCCGACGCAGTATCCAAGTAATAAATTCAAAACCCCAACCTAATAAATAATTCGAATATATCAATCCAGTAATAAGATAATACACCAACCCAGTAATTATTTCGATATACCAACCCAGTAATAAATGCGATTTATCACAAAGTAATTAATCCAAGTCATCAACCAAGTATTTAAACCGATGCATCTACCCAGTAATTAATTCGACATGTCACTCAGTAATCAATTCTCAGTACCGTTCCAGTAATTATGCCGATAAGAAATTCAAGAAATTAATCCGATATATAACATCCATTAATCCAATATATTATCCAGTCAGTAATTAATCGGACACACCATACGGCAGTTAATCCGATATATTATCCAGTAATTTACCTGACAAACCATGCAGTAATCAACCTGATATAATAATCCAACCGATAAGAACAGCGGCATTTCTTTGGCCAAACCCTTAGAAATACCGTTATCACCATGTGCCATGCCGATAAGCGCAGTCGTTGATGATTTGCCATCCCAGACGATCAACAAAATCATGGAACGTGACAGTTCTCCTTTCTCGTCCCATCCGTGTGGACAGTCCATCAAAAGTTATGTCTTTACATTCCCCCAAACTCTTCGGATTAATCTTGGCAATAAGTTAAAAAGAAAAAAAAATTAAAGGTCCCTTTTCCATGCCTTTGGGCGTATAGGGCATATAGGGCTAGACTTATATTTTTATTGACCGAAAGGCACAAGATGGGTGATGAGGTCAGCATCACGCCGGCCGCCTTTACTTCCCGGGACTGCACCCGGTGCCCACTCAAGGCTGGGTCAACCTTGGAGTCAAGGTCATTTTTGAAAAAAGTCCGGCTCCGCCAGGGAGCAAACCAACAATCTTTCGAATCTTGGCAATGGTCACCAAGTTTTCCCATTTTTTTTTTTTCTTCCTTGGAAATACATCTTCTTTATCTGAACAAACGGAAAGATGTAGTGATGAATTTGATTTTCCCAATGTATTTTCATTTTTCTATTCATCTTACAGCATAGTCGAGAATATGTTGTAAAAAATACGCTTTGAAGTTTTGAAACTCTATACCCATTTTAAATCAGTTATAGGAACATTCGCATGTAGAAGGTTACAGTCAAGCCTCAGTTCTTTCTTTTATAACAACCTGGTTTTAAAATACGCAGCCAGCGTTAAAACCACATACGGTGCAGACTGATTAGAGTGACCTCGGATGTGACGAATTTCTGTTGTGAAGAACAATGTGTTATCCCCTTCAATAGTTCTCGCTTGAAGTTGTGTCTAGATAAGAAAAATTTATGATAAGAAGAATTACTTCTTGGGTCCCCGGTAAGTTCTCATTATCAGGTCTGCACTGTGTCTATCGTGAACCCGGATACCCGGATGGGACTCATCATAGAAAACGTACCAAGTCTTACTCCCACATCCTATTCAGTACAATTACCCACCAGGGGTTGCTAACTGTGGTCAAAATGTCATAAGCTAATGACATGAAACCTCCTTATTTGAGTAGAGGGCAAATGTGACGACACATCCAGCCTAGTTTACTAAAGGTTCTACTAACAGCCCCATGTGACTCAACACCATGATGATGATGATGATGACGATACACACCATTGAATCCCACATAATTTATCGAGATAGTAAAAGGTAACTTATTTTGTAGTCTATAGACAAAGAAGAGAAGAAATACTAAAATTGTAAAAGATCTGAACATCGAGAAGACAGCCTAATAAACAGCATCTTGTCTCGGAAGCTGACAATACTTGTATTTTGGTCATATCAAGCGCCTTGGCTTACGAAATAATAACAGAAGGCATGGTATCATAAAGAAGGGGCAGGGGCCGACCAACACGAAGATGAACACAGAATGTAAGTTACTTCTTGAAAATGAAACTATACGAGGGGGGAGAGCTCGCAAGAGGCAGTTTCTGAGAGGTAGACTGTGATGAGAGCGACGTTCTACAAAGGACCTACTACATGACGATGATGATAATAATGATGATGATGATGATTACTAGCAGGCACTCTTCTGACTACACACAAAACACTAAAGGAGACAGCGATGAAGACGTACATCATAGAACATTTCCAATCTATGCAAATACTCAATTTTGGTAGATAATGACAACACGCTTAAAGCCAGTGGTAAGCACAAATATGCAAGTGGGCTGGGCGTTCAGTGGCATACACAAATGCAAATGCACCTATACAGAGAAAATGGACAATTTTTCGCCAATCATTTTCAAAGCCCATCGCAGTAAATTAACAGTTTGCGTGCAAATTATATGTATATAAATTTTTTTTCAAGTAAAGGACCCTTTTCTAAGCCTTTAGGCGTATATGGCATATAGGGCTAGACCTATTTTTTTATAGACCAATCGGCACAAGATGGCTGATGTGGTCAGCATCACACCGGCCGCCTTTACTTCCCGGGACTGCAACCGGTACCCACTCAAGGCTGGGTCGACCTAGGAGCCAAGGTCATTTTTGAAAAACAGTCCGGCTCCGCCATGCAGCGAACCCACGACCTTCCATTCGGCAGCGAGCGTTTTCCAGTCTTTGCAAATACTATATTTCAGTTGATAATGACAACACGCATAAAGCCAGGGGTAAGCAGAGATAAGCAAGTGGGCTGGGCGTTCAGTGGCATACACAAATGCCCCTCCCTATACAGAGAAAATTGACAATTTTCCGCCAATCATATTCAAAGCCCATCACAGTAAATTACCAGTTTATATCTATATATATATATATATATATATATATATATATATATATATATATATATATATATATATCTATATATATATATATATATATCCTACAGAAGCAGATACATGATAGTCCAATTGACAGTCGAAAATTATATAGGAAAGTATAAAGGAAAAGTCATTAAAGAAGACAAGAGCCTCTGCTTGTACCGCCAGCAGTATGACAGTGGAGAGCATGGCTGTGACAAAGATCCTAGAATGGCTGAATGAATACTCAGAAGTTCACCAATGCCAGTTTGCTCAGCGACGCAATGAGCAAGCAACAAAAGATCAAGGCGGGGCACATACCGAAGCAGTGGCTCCATCTGAGACAGCAACCAGCGTTTCGCAAAATCTACATCATTACTGTCCCAGGGCATTCTGGTGTGAAAGACAATGAGAGAGCAGACGCTCTGGCTGGCAGTGTGACTATGAGGAATGGGCCCTCTATGGACAGAAGAGACATCATCAATGCCATACGAGAGACTCTGTGAGGGTTTCAGTTTCGTGGAAAAAGGATTTTTCACTAAAAAGAATGCATACCATAGGCGTACCAGTTGGAGCAGCGAATCAGGAAACCAAACGGGGGCCACCCGTCGCCACATCAACCAGAACAGAATCGGAGATGTTAACCTAAAATCATTTGGAGTCATACTCAGGAAGAGATAGGAGCACTTATAGTCATGTTCGATGTGCGATGAAGATGATATCAAAAATTAACAATGCCATACAATACGATCTGCCTTTTGATTATTATTAGCGGGGATGCAAAGGTGCTGAACCACACGTTGTGGATCACCAGGGCCGGCCAAGTCTCACGGTAAAGACTTATCTACACCTCTTTGCGGTCATCATAGAGACGGGTCCTCTAGTTGGAGCCTGGTCAGGGGAGAAAATAGAAGAAAAACCAACAGTCCGCACGCAAAAAGTCAAGCTGAAAACCGGATGTGCAGGCAACACTCCAGTCTGGAAGACGACGAAAGCCCTAAATAATCAGAACTTTCCACCGAAGTTCACAGCAGGTGAATACGAAGAAGAAGAAGAAGAAGAAGAAGAAGAAGAAGAAGAAGAAGAAGAAGAAGAAGAAGAAGAAGAATTATCAGCTATTTTTGTGATTCTTTTTTTTTTTTTTTTACATGACCCGGTCTATCAGCGCCAGCTCGGTGCAAAAATGTGCAAGAACCTCTTGGCATTGATAGTGACCCGGTTGATGGTCCTGGAGTTGAAGCTTCTTCCCCGAACATTATTCACAAAAATGTTAATTTAGTAAAAAGTAAATTAAAGATACGTAACTAAATAGCTGAATCACTCCACTAGATTGTTATTACAATTCTTATCTATTGCCTTACCTTGCGGTTCAGCATATCGCACTAAGAATTAACTAAAAAAACATGGAGTATTTTTCAGAACGAAATCTCATCTGCCACAGAATCAACTGGAAATACGTCATTTCAAGACAAGACGAGGTTAGAGGTCAGACTGGTCCAATAATTTCCCGCCGCTGGGGTTCCAGCACAGGATTTGCTAAGCGTCAGTGGGCGTTATCTCCAACAGTAAAGAGATATACTTAAATGGCGGAACAAATATCCCCTCCCTATCCAGCATGCAATATTGACATCTTAAAAGATTTGAACATCAAGGAAGATTGGCTAATAAACAGCATCCTTTCTCGAAAGCTGAAATATTTTGGTCATATCCATCGCCACGACGGATTGGAACAAATTATAGCAGAAGGCATGGTACCAGGACGGAGGGGCAGGGGCCGACCGACACGAAGATTGGCACAGGATATAAGTGACTCCTTGAGTGTGAAAGTGCATGAGGCGGGACAACTGGCGAGAGACCTAGTTTCTTTCAGGCAGACTGTGATGAGAGCGACATTCTGCAAAGGACCTTCTACATGATGATGATGATAATCCTGCAAGCCTTTCCCCTTTTCCAGTTAGACCAACAACACCGATATTGCCTCCCAGTACAAAATCCAATTAGAAACCTCACATACCCTGGGTGATTTGTGGTTTGTCTGCATAAATCGATCGACCTTCTGGGTTGCTCCCTAAAGATTTACCATACCATCCTGAGATTAGAGAATCTCTGTCTAGACGGAGATCAACAAGGTAGATCCCAGATGCCCCGATCAGGATCCAAAAAAGGTTATAATAAAGGATTCCAGGCAGATGTAACCTGCGGTCATAATTGGGTGAGGAAGTTCTGCTTAAACAAGAGTAAAGATCTTAATCCGTCACAGGACAGTAGGTGTAAAAACAGACGAAAGAGGGCAAGGGTGGTTATGAGCTTTTGTATGTAAGGTTGCTTGGCTAATGTAGTCGCAATGAGCTGGCAACAGAAGATCAAGGCGGGGCACATACTGAAGCAGTGGCTCCATCTGATACAGCACGCAGCGTTTCGCAAAATCCACATCATTTCTGTCCTAGGGAATTCTGGTCTGAAAGACAATGAGAGAGCAGACGCTCTGGTTGGCAGTGCGACTATTAGGAATGGGTCCTCCACGTACAGGAAAGACATCATCAATGTCATACGAGAGACTGTGAGGGTTTCAGTTTCGTGGGAAAAGAATTTTTCACTAAATAGAATGCATACCATAGGTGTGCCAGTTGGAGCAGCGAATCAGGAAACCAGTCGCAAAAGCCAAACCGCCATTGCTGTCCGCATGTACCACTTTTGCGGTGTTTACGGTTTACGCATACAAGTGTCTTGACGGCAACAGACTCACAATGCATACTGATAAATATGTCAATAACATTATAATTAGGTATTTCAAAATTGGAGTCAGTTGATATGTGACATCGTTGGCTTGTATGTAGTCTGTATAATATTCAAATAGTTTTCGCTTGCATCGATCATCGGCGACCGGGTCGCCCATTGGCTGGCCCGTACTTCGTCGCCGGTCGGGACAGTATTTGGGCCTGGTACCTTTAATCGCATCAACACTGCAGGGGTCCTTTCCATGGCTCTTATTGACGTGCAATATTAAGCCAATTTTTATGGCGCACATAACCTAGTCACAATTATAACCTAAAGTTCTCCCTTCGGGGATGCTGGTTGAACGTGATGATTTGTTTCTAGCAAAGCAGGCACTTTGTATCGATAACATATTTATTAAAGAGCAACAGATGAAATGGTTCGGCCATCTGACGAGATTACCATAGTGAGGTAGGCAGAAAAAAACATACCAAGAGGAAGACCCCGCATGTTATGGAAGGATGGCATCAAGAACAGTCTAAAGTAAGTGAACACCAAGTTATACAAGGCATCGGAAAGAGAACATAGACGATTCTTACATCTCCCCCAACACTTAGTTAAAATATTTGGAGACAGTGAAGAAAAACGGACACTAGTGTTGTTCAGATAGCAATAGCAAACATAGAGTTTCCTAATAAAACCCTACAACAGCGCCCCCCACCCCTGCCCCCATCTATTTCCGTACCAGGCAACTCGCTCTACGTTTTTCGGTGTTTCCAAATAATTGTGTTACTCTCTTCCATTACAAATATGTAGTGAGACGTCGCAAGATAGTTTGGTTCGGACATGTCGTTAAACCTGATTCAATTGCAAAGACTACTTCAAGGAACACTGAGGGGTAGTCGAGGCAGAGGGGAGCAAAAGAGATGCTGGAATGACAACGTCAAGAAATGGACTATATTTTTGCACATTTGTTCAGCAAGCAGAAGACAGAGACAGATGGCAGGTTTTGTGTGTTAGTGCTGCCATCGATACACACCCACGACCCATACAGGTCAAGGATAATGTTATGTTAAATGCAATATTTACCTGTTGTACGAAATTAAGTACTTCAGAGGTCGCGATGGTTAGCGTATTTTGTATATACTCCAGGTTATGTCAGTGTGTTGGGAGACGAGCAAACAGATGGACTGGTCGGTTCTGTGGTGAACTGATGCATGACAAACAAGATGTTGTGAGGGCCCTTTTAGGAGTGAGTGAACATTGCAAAGGTGATCTGGCTGACGCTCAACACTCAATGGTAAGGCGAGACGATATACAGTCAGACAGTGACAGGTATCATTGGAACTGGAACTCTTCGCTTGCTGCTGAAAATTGGGACGGAGCGCTTATGGGAATGTCCCGAGTGATGGGATGTCGATTCTTAGTTCAACATTCAACATACCTGTTGTACCCGAATCAATAGTCTAACTGCTTATGCCCCACACTGTCTGCATTTAACTCCTTTAGACCAAAGTGTATATTGTACCTGCTCAGCTCCTTGGGAAACAAGGAGTTAAAGTAACAACTGCTTTGGATTTAGAGAGTTTGAGGATCTCCAGCGTAGCATCTAAAACTGTATTTGTATACATAACTTCAGCCAAAATATTCAACTTTGAGATGCACAAAACAAACATTAATTTCTTACACCAGGAATTAATGTGGAAAAAAAAATCATACCGTTTCATGCCATGAAGGTTAATATCGTCAAATTATAAGCTCAAATCACAAACATATTAACAGGAGTCAAACATATTAACACAGTATCTAACATATTCCGAAGCATAGCGCCATACAAAATCGCTAAGAATTGTGGCTAAACGCAGACACAGTAGCTACTTTTATGTTTATGAATACACATCAACAAAAAAGTAATCAGTCAAAAAGTTACGTAAGCCACACCCTCAGCTAGGTGAAACCAATGTAGAGTTTGGGAAAGCCCAAACGCCTACACATTATCCACACCTTGTCAATCATGTTGACTAATTATAAATGAATCACTGTCTATATTAAAAACAACAACAGGCCGTCTAATCTCTTAAGTCTGGGTAAAGCATAAGCCCTTTGATGTGACAGAAGCGAGGAATATCGGAAACGACTTTAGCCGGTAGCTAAAGCGACGCTTTTGTTATGATGGTGAAAGAGAAAGTGATAATGTCAATTTGTGATTACATCTTAACAAAAATTCAGGTTCCTTGATAACGGCGAAAGACCCAGGTTCGAATCCTCTGTGAGGTTACGTATTCTTTTTTTCTGTGAGGGTTAAATCCGAACCTGTACAGTCCGTCGCGTTAATGCATGGCTAATATAGACAGCCATTGGTTGCTAGCAGACAACAGCAATGGGCGATTTTTAGAGAACGTACATAGAGAAGCGGGTCGGCTCTGTGGCTAAGTCGATGCGAACGCTTCATAATGCCGGAATGCCAGGTTCGATCGCGGCTGCGGGCCATACGCCTTGCGTTGGTTTCGACAGTGGTATCAAGAAAGCCAACCGTCCAGAGAGCAGTGGCAAACTACAGGACGTAAATTTGCCTAGAAAAACCACACAACAGCCAGGGGCTGTTAGGACTGGTTCTGCAACGTCCTGTAAAAGATACGCAATTAACCTAACACAGAGAAGATAGAGCCTTTCATTTCCCGGAGTCACCGTGGTGTACGGCTAGACGCTCGCCTGCGGATCCGAAGATAGTGGGTTAAAAAATTACCTTGGCTCTCAGATTGAGCCAGCCATAAATGGGCATCAGGTAAGCTTCTTGGGAAGTAAAAGCGACCGGTGTGATGCTGACCACATCATCTACCAATTAACGATTGGTCTATAAAATATAGGGCTAGACCTCTATGTCCAATAGGCGCGAAGGCGTGAAAAACGGCCCTTAACTGTTTGTCACAACCCTATAAGTACAGTCAGTGTACCACACCGTAAGGTGTGCGTGTTGAGGTGACACCCCAGGGTTGACACAAAGGTCAGGGCCGTGACTGGTCACGTCTGTTCTGTTATTGCACGGTGAAACCAGCGCTTAGGATAAAGCGCTTGGCCACGGCAAGAAAAAGAGTGAACGTTGTTGGAGACAAGTCGACAGCACGATGACCGCGGTTGGGACTGAGCTGGACCGGGGTCCAGAGACACGAGGTGGAGAGAACACAGGACATTCGGTGTGCGACGGTCAGAGAGAGAAGACGTTTAGCAAGACAGTGATAGGATATTAGAGTTAGGATATTTCTGTTAGTGACTGCAAAGTTTATGTACAGTGTTCTGTTAGAATAGGATAGTTCTTGTGCAGGGTATTTATACATGTTCTGTGAGAGAATGTCTAACCTTGGCACTCTGACCCTGCACTAAGACAGAGGCTGTGACAGTTTGGTTGGTCAGTGTGTCAATAGTTAAGAGCGTATCTCGTGACCGTGTGGTTTGTACACCAGGAGATTGCTTGTGGAACGTACTGGGAGCGAGGCGACTGTAAAGCTCGTTCGGCCAGAGGGTCCAGGCAATAGGTGGCCACACAGCGGGAAGTTAACTGTCTATTGTATTACCTGTACTTACAATAAATATTGTCGTGTGTGCTCTGTGTGCGTTCGGGTTCAGTGTGTGTTAAAGGTTAGTTTGTCTGTCATAGGCCCAGTTACGAGCCACGGACCAGCAAGGTCACCCAGAGGTCTGTGACACTGTTCTTTAAGCATTCCACAGGATGAAGAATTCTGCATGCAATATTCTTATTCAAACATGGTGAAAATTAATGTTCTTAAGAGAAATGTGCAGCAACTCTTGTTGTCTGGAGGTGAATGACGGACAGTCAACAAAGTAGTGAAAAAAATTATAAGAAGCTGTCGGGTGGTTGGTTTATAAAAGAATAATAACATCATGGGTAGACCACGACCGGCGCCAGCCGACAGGCCATGCTGCTGACGTCACCAGGTCGGGCTAACGATCTGCTACCGGTCGTAGACAAGCCTCATGAAATGGTCTTGCAAGAAAAACAAAGACAATACAACTACTTGCCCGCACCGTAATGAGACAATTTACTTTCTTTGAACGCGCATATAAGAAGGCAAATTAGTTGCTGGCACAGACGTCAATTAGCGAAACATTATATGGAATCGGCGGACATGTGGGTTTTTTTAGGCGGACAATAAGAACACTCTATAGAAATAAAAAGAGTAATGGAGATATCTTGAAAGAAATCCTCACTGCCCGCATCATCTATATTCTTTGGTCATGTCATGAGAAACATCTGACCGTCGTAAAAACTGGCAAAAGCACTACACCAGCGGTTCTCAAACTGTGCGTATTCAGAAGACAATGCTACTGGCAAGGCAGCAGTGCATTTTCGACGTACGCTTACATAAAATAAATTTAAAAACAGATACAGGAACAAACTTTGTGGGTCAAGTGATTTAAGGGTGAAGTTAACTTAACTTCCTATGTACATAGAGGAAAAAGGAAAAATGCACCTAAACAGTTTTATCCATCGCATTAAAGACAAGCGGACATTAAATGTTCGCTGTTTTTAATTGTTTTTATTTTTTTTTTATTTTTTTTCCGCGACAAGGGTGCCGCGGGGAAAAAAGTTTGAGAACCGCTGCACTACACACTAAGCAAAAGCTGCCATAGCACAAGTAAATTATCGGCGGCTGCAAGGGGAAAACAACTATAGTGTGTTCCAGAAGTCGTGCCCAGCTTTAAAAAATATGTAACTCAGTAGCCGTTCTGTGAAAACATGTTAACATTTAGCATACCCCTATTAATAATCATGTCCTTGAAAGTATTTGTTCCTAATGTAAGCAAACATCTTGTTTTTATTGTGCCTTATTTGCGGTATGTGAAAAACTCACCGATTCAAAGCAAACAGTCAGCATACTTACAGTTCTTGGACTCTCAGATGGTCATCTCCAGCATAAGCCTCCGATGAATTAGATAAACACAAATTTTTATTGGATGCGGACTATGCTATCAATATATTCATCATGCTATATATTTAAAATATTCATCATATTTGTTCTCTTAGGGAACACATTACGAAGTCATAAAGAAAAACTAGATTATTATGGGCTGGAGAGAATGATACACCTGGATGTGACCAGAGGGTTCGGCCGGCACACTATGCTCAGAGGAAAGGTAAGACGACATACAACCAGACTACGACTGGAACCTTGCGCTGGCTGTTGAGAATGGGGGCGGAGCGCGTATAGAAATGCCCGGAGTGCAGTGATGTCAATGCCTAACTCAACTGAACTTATCATGCTTCGCTGCACGTCTGAACTGATTTCCCACACAAATCTCCGCGCGTGTGTTAATTGCTGTATATTCATTTAAAAAAAGTATAGTAAAGATCCCTTTTCATGCTTTTAGGCGCATCGGGCATATGGGAAGAGCACCCAAATTTTTATAGACAAATCGGCACTAGGTGGGTAATGAGGTCAGCATTATGGCAGCCGTCTTCACTTCCCCATGACATACATCCTGGTACCCATTTTAGGTTGGGTCGACCTGCGAAGCCCCATCATCATCATCATGTAGCAGATCCTTTGCAGAACGTCGCTCTCGTCACAGTCTGCCTGAAAGAAACTCAGTCTCTCGCCAGTTCTCCCGCCTCATGAACTTTCACACTCAAGGAGTCACTTATATCCTGTGCCCATCTTCGTGTCGGTCGGCCCCTGCCCCTCCTTCCTGGTTCTATGCCTTCTGCTATAAATT